AATAAAGGAAAATATTTTTTCTCCTTTTTGAAAAATTTTTTTTTTTTCTTGAAAAATTTAGTTTTTTGCTAAAAATTATATTATAAAAATAAAACAAAAAATTTATTGTTGACTCCTGAAATAAACTTATTATGGCCAACCCTTCTAATGGGTAAACCCAAACCCAATAATAAAGTAAACAATAATGTTGAATGTATTTTTATATATATCTCATTGCTTATTCTATCAATTATCACTCTCTTCTCCACTATTTTCATTCAGCTCTATATCCTTTTCTACCCAAATACCTACTTTTTGACCTTTCATATTATATTCACCATTTAGAGAGCCTTTGACATAATGTTTAGACTTTTCATCCAATTCCACCCACCTTCCAATCTTTTTCTAATTTCCTTCTTCATCATATGATCCACCACCACTTTACATTTAAATATTCTTATAAATTCTAAAATATTTACATTTATTAATATATTCCGCTTCCGTAATCATTATACATAATATCCCATCTGCCCACCTTCATACCATTTTTATTATATGAACCTTAATGAGTAACTTAATAGAATTTAGCAAACTTTTCATCCAATTCTATCCATTCTCCAATCTTTATCTAATTTCCTTCTTTATCATATGATCCACCACCACTTTACATTTAAATATTCTTATAAATTCTATAATTTTTACATTTGTTCAAATTCCACCTTATTTTCTCCCTAATACAGAATAGCCCATCTACCTACCTTCATACCATTTATATTATAGGAGCCTGAATTAGTGATTTTATTGAATCTAGAAAACCTCTCATCCGTTTCTACCCATCTTCCAATCTTTATCTAATTTCCTTCTTTTACATTATAAACACCTTCACCACTATATATTTAAATATTCTTATAAATAAATAATATTTACATTGTTTTAATCTTATCTTCTTAACGATATATAAATTCCCATCTACCTGCCTTCCTACCATTCAGATCATATGACCCTCTCTGAGTGAGTTAAAAATAATACGAAAATTTTTCATCCAATTCTACCCAATATCCAATCTTTATCTAATTTCCTTCTTTATCATATGATCCACCACCACTTTACATTTAAATATTCTTATAAATTCTATAATTTTTACAATTATCCTTTATAATACCAACAAATATCCCATTTGTCTACCTTCATACCATTTTTATTATATGAACCTTAATGAAGGACTTATTTCTACATATGAAACCCTTCATCCAATTCTACCCAATTTCCAATCTTTTTTGAATTTCCTTCTTCATCATATGATCCACCACCACTATATATTTGAATATTCTTATAAATTTTACATATTACTCCCATCCCAAAGAATATCCCATTTACCTACCTTCATACCATTCATATTATATTAACCAATTAAAGTGACTACCACTTGATTCCAAAAACCTTCAAACAATTCTACCCACTTTCCAATTTTTTTCTAATTTCCTTCTTCATCATATGATCCACCAATCCCTTAATAATTTATTATTTCTTTCATAAATAATTTCAAATTGCAAAATATACATTTTTCTGGTTTGGAATTTATTTTCGTTTTTTTTCAGTATCTTATTTTAATGATAAACTTACAATTTGATTGAATTTTAGATGTCATTTTAAAAGTAAATTTGTAATTTTATATTCAATTTTATTTTGATGGCTGCATGCTGTCTAAAAATTTTTTAAACAGTTATTTATTCCTTCCTTTTATAATAGAAGAATTCTATTACCTGAAAGGCCATTTTTGTTCAAATTAATTTATTGTTATTTTTTATCATTAAAAATTCCTAAATTTTTAAATTATTTCTATATAAACATTTAATTTATTATGAGATTAAACTTTTTATTTGAAAAAATTTATCTGAGATAAACACTTAATGAAATCGAGCATATCATTTTGAGTAAATCAAAATACCCTCAATACAGCATTTAGTTTAGCTAGATTGAAAGAAATTATAAGATTGCTTAAAATTATCGAGAAAAAAGTAAAAAGGAAGATGAAAAACCAAAAAGAAATATCATTAAATGTGAATAACTATAACTTAAAAAATAATTTTTTTTTCATTCGTAAAGAAAAAGATAAAACTGAAACAGATTAACAAATAAAAATAATTGTTATTGTGAGTTGAATGAATGTTTACGCTAATTTATCCATTAAATATTCTACCGATTACTTTCTTAATCAATTAATTTATTGAAAACTAAGAGATTTATTTTTTAAATTATTCTCGATAGTGCATAAAGTGCAAATAATGTTAACATAGTTAGCTATACTTAGAGCAATTCTATTGATTTTATTTTAAGTTAGGAATATACTTGCATTCTTCCAATTCTTCGCATCTTTTAGATTATTGATTAAACAAACAAAAAGGAGATCTTGGCTTTCTTGAACATGAGATATATGTTTCAAGTAGTTAGTTACTACCAATTTACAAACATTATCCATTAACATAATTCAAATCTAGAATTTCTAAGAAATTATTTTTTTTTTTTGAATCTACTTGCAAAATAATGGTGCCTCTATGCATTTAGCATTTGTTCTAGAAGTTTAAGATGTATAACTTGAAAGTTTACCCTAACTCATTCTATGAGATGTTGAGTTTTAAGCAATCATATATATCAGGACAAATATTCAAGTTTTAGTTCCAGTAGCAATTTATCTTTCATCCTTGATTTATTTAATAAGAAGATTTAGTACTTAAAAATTGAGTGGTTTTTAACTACAAGAGAGTCTATTAATACAAATTTAAATTTTCATCGTATGTACATGAATCTAGCCATAAGATGCATTAATAAATAGATGTGAATTCTTCATTTGTATTATTGCACGTTCTTACTTAGCAAGTAAAAGAATTCTAAGTGTATTAAATGTTTCTATTCAGAGTAATATAATTGCATTAAAGTTTTAAAACATTTAAGCATTAACTATATATACATCGTGCAAAATAAATAAAATCTAATTCACAAGTCTTTGAGATTTATTTGCATTTCAATTAACTAAGACTCTAATTAATTAATAATAATTTATACTTTGTAATTCCTGCAATTGATTTCAATATTTTTTGACTAATTTTATTTAGAACATGAAAACCATCCCATTAACCTAGATTATTATTTATAGCTGTTAATTGATTACATTTACTTTATGAAATTTAATCGCAAGTTTAAGGAGTTTCAATACAAGATCCTTAAAAATATTGATAAAAGAATCCTATATTGAGAATTTCATAACTGCAGCTATTAAGTAGGGTAGTCGATTAATTTATTACTTCTACGCAAGATTATTATTAATTGGTTGAGCATTTTAACCCAGTTTAATTAACATTGCAATCCTATATATTATAATCACTGCTGTTCATTTAAAAAAAATACAATTGACCCTTTAGAATGAAATTGTACAGACATTAGTAAATAATTAACGATCAAGATACGAAGTTGGAGTATTGTTGCTTTAAGTAATTGTACAAACTTTAATTGATATTTTTTAGTATTTAGATCCTTGAAAATTGTTAAAGTTTATTTTATTTAGAGTACTTGGATAATCACTACAATTTTAAGTTATATAATTAGTTCCATTCCCTTTACATGGTTAATTATTAACATCAGTTAAGGACTCAGGCATTGTTAAATAGTCTTAACAATTGAATTAGTTTGCACAACTTGACTCTAATTTTAAAGTACATTTAAAATTCCAAGCTTAACATTCCTAATGACTTTTAAATTATTCTGTTTCAGGTGCGTCAGTGCACAAATCATTTCCAGTCTCAATTTTACATTCAAATTCAGACTTCTTTAACTTGCATGAAGATAGCCATTATCTACATTCCAAAATGGTCTTTATTATTATATCATTGTAGCTCATCACTTAATTGTTAACACGAAGCGAATTGCTCAATGCCTCTACCCCTCTACTTATTCAAGCATTTCTAATTATGATATTTTAGCCATTCTTAACATTATTCTCTTGAAGTAAATAAGAGTAGAACATTTTAGCAGGTTTAAAATTCACATTCTTTTGTTTGTATATTCCAAAAACATGGAATATCTTAT